TCGATTTCTGCCTGTGTTTCATATATATAGTCTCTAAATTGTACAGATCCACTAATGGTTTGTGTGCGTATTGTTAATGGCTGGTATCCGCTCATTCCCAGGGTGATGTTCCTTCTCCAAGGAGTGTCGTTCCTGTGGCAATTGCTGTTGCTATGGTTACTCTTGTTATTGACACATTTCCATTGTTGGAGAATGGTGGGTCTCTGGGACTGATGGTAATTCTGTACTTTGTGCATGTGGTGAGAACACATCTTCCTGATCAGCTGCCTAACAGCTTCTCTCATTGTATGTAAATATGGTTGCAAAGATATATTTGATCATTCAGCACATACATTCGAGTTACAGCTACTCGGTACAGGTCCCAAGTTACCATGTAGACTGGCTTTTTGTTGAGAGTATTGAATGATTCCACTCTGATGAGCTGTCCAGTGCTCAGCACTAGCAATGACCAGGTAATTTTCAAAGTGAAATTTGACTTTATGTCATTTGACCTTGATTTGTCACTCATGCCAATTGCTACTTCTAGCTCAACACTTGGAAGAACAATATGGATGCAGCATGACCTTATTTTTTAGATGGGACTGCTTTCCATACCCTCAGTCAGCACGCTTCTCCACTTAAGGACTGTATTGTGTAAGACTGCATTGCAGGATTTCTTTATGTTCCCTTTGCTGATTTTCACTACTGCTTCAGCATTTCCCTTTGACTGGGCATGGTGGCAGGTGATGTATGGTTTTGAATTTCCCAATCCTTTATGAAGTTGCTGAATTCTTCATTCATGAATCATGGTCATTGTTTGTCATTCATCACAATATCTGGAATGCCCTAATGAGGAAAAAATGTGCTTCCAGGCATTCCACAATCTCAGGGCGGTCATTGCCATCAGCTGGTCTAACTCAGGATGATAGTCAATGGTGGCATAAAGGCCCTTGTGGCACAGTGGCAGTGTCCCTACCTCTGGACTGTGGAGATTCTGGCTCAAGCCCCACTGACTTCAGATATATATAAATATATAAAATAACATCTCTGAACAGGCTGATTTTTTTTAAAAAAAAAAGCATAATCAATGATGACAAGATAGTCATTTCCTGTGAGAATGAAAAAGTCTACACCAAGCTTCATCTGTAGTCTACCTGGAGCAGTATTTGTCATCAGCAACTCTTCAGTTTGCTAAGCTCAGGTTTTTTTACAAATACTGCTTCTGGCTGATATAATCCTTAATCTCATTGTTCATATTTGGCCAGTGGAGCACCTCTGTTGCTTTTAAACCAGACTCAATTTATTTATGGTCCGCATGGATGCACTTCAGCATTTCCTTTCTCATATCCTTAGGGCTAATCTCTCTTTTTTTTTGCAAGATTCCCTTTTGGGTTATCATTTCATCTCTGTATGCCTGACAGTTGTATTATAGCAACAGCTGTGTCCTTGATATTTTCAGATCATCTTTTCATCACTACGTTTTGCAGCAGTTTAAGAGTTGGACCTTGTTATGTAGTTAGCTTGATAGCAGCAAGATGCTTACCTTTTAGCATTTGAGTTGATGACTTCCAGAGCACATTGCATGTCATTGAAGGTAGAAGATTTCACACCCTGCCTTATCATGCTCAACTTTCTTTATAGGAAGTGCTGCTCTTGACAGCATGCCTGTAATTTATGTCTATCTCCCTTGTTTGCATCCCACATCATATAATGCCTCTGTGAACAAAGCAATGTTCTTTGACCGCAACTTCCCCCCTTCGGTGATCGAAAATGCTCTCGACCGCATCTCTTACGTTTCCCGCACCTCTGCCCTCATATCCCCTCCCCCCAACAAAAACAAAGACAGAATCCCCCTTGTCCTCACATATCCCCCCACTAATCTCCATATTCAACGTATCATTCTCCGCCACTTCCGCCACCTGCAATCTGACCCCACAACCAAAGATAAATATCCCTCCCCACCCCTGTCTGCCTTTCCTAGGGACCGCTCTCTCCATGACCCTCTTGTCTGCTCAACACTCCCCACTAGCCCCACCAACCCGGCACCTTTCCCTGTAACCACAGGAAGTACTACACCTGCCCCTACACCTCCCCCCTCACCTCCATCCAAGGCACCAAACAAACCTTTCACATCAGACAGGGGCTCACCTGCACATTCGTCAATGTGGTCTATTGCATCCGCTGATCCCCATGTGGCCTCATCTACATTGGTGAGACCAAGCGGAGGCTCGGAGACCCGTTGTAGAGCACCTGTGCTTGTTCGTGACAAACGACAACACCTTCCGTTCGCGAACCATTTCAACTCCCCTTCCCACTCCCTGGGCGACATGTCCATCCTGGGCCCCCTCCAGTGTCACAATGATGCCACCCACAAACTGGAGGAGCAGCACCTCATATTCCGCCCTGGCAGCCTACAACCCAATGGTCTCAATGTGGACTGGACTTTACCAGTTTCAAAATCTCCCCAGCCCTGGTCTCATCCCATGACCAACCCTCCCTCTCATCCTCGCCTTGTTGACCTGACACAACCTGTCCATCTTCTCTCCCACCTATCCGCTCCTCCGACCTCACTGATCAATCCCCACCACTCCCTTCCTGCACTCACCTATCACTATGCCACCTACCTTCCCCAGCCCAACACCTCCTCTCTTTATTTATTTCTGAGCCCCCTTCCCCCTCCCCCATTTCTGAAGAAGGGTCCTGACCCCAAATGTCAACTTTCCTGCTCCTCTGATGCTGCCTGGCCTGCTATGTTTCTCCAGCTCCACACTGTGTTATCTCAGACTCCAGCATCGGCATTTCTTACTATCTCTGAATGTTCTTTACAGATAGTTTGGAGCAGATAAAAAATGATTTCAGGAAGTTACTTTGAAGTGGCTTTTGGTCAATGCCATGATAACATTGTCTCCTCCAACCACTCACAAGCAAAGGCATTGGCCAAGTGCATTTTCTGTGAGTAGTGTATCTTTCAATTTGTGGTAATATCCTGGATGCAACTAAAGCTAGTTGACTTGCTGTACAAAGTTTTCCAAATCTTGTCTCATTAGAGACATCCTCATCCATCAACCAGCAAATCATCTATAATAGCTTTCAGATCACTGACTAACTTTTTCCACAACAGTGGAAATGCCAAATTACACGCAAAGCCATCAGTACCTCCTGAAGAGCATCCAAAATGCAGTTGGAAAACTGTTGCGTTCACCCAGCTTCACATGCCAATTAATAGCATTTTGTATCAAGAGTAACAAGGTCCTTTGCCCTGGCAAGTTGTAGAGAAACCTCTTTAATGATTGTCAAGGAGTAACGAAATCTCTTCAATGATTTATAGAGATCCTTTGTATCTGTGCGTACTCTTGATTTCCTAGTTTTTGTTTTCTTTATGACCATATTACTAAACCAGTCTGTAGATGTGATCACTTTCTTGGTTGCTCCCTTCTTCTCTAACTTATCTTTCAGACTACATCTGAGGGCAGCTGGAACTCATTTCAGCAGTTTCTGTGTTGATCTCACACTCTCATCCACTTTGAGATGGTAATCACCAGGAAGATATCCAAAATCTGCCAACATATCTTTGATATGGTCAATGTCACTACACCACAAATTTGGGGTTTCTATTTACAAGCATTTGATTTGCTTCAGCTGAAATGAATGGATTTTGCTTAATATCTATCCAGATGACCCTGAATGAACTCCAAATCTTCATTCTTGCCATTGAATTGAGCTCAAAGCTTCATTTGTCCTCTTTGACATGAATATTGTTCCATTAAATAGTTTCTACTTCACGTGCATTCATTATCGGGTCACCATCTTGATCCACTTTGCACAGGTCTGCAAAGTTCATGGTGTTTCATGACATTTGGCATCTATCTGACACTCCATGTTCACTTGAAGCTGTCCTTCTGAAATCAATATTAGAACAGTAACAAACCAGTTATCACCTTTAAACTTGACAGCATCAACCTTTTAGAATAGAATGTCCTTTATTGTCACATGTATTCAATATAAAATACAGTGAAAAGTGTGTACATAGGCGCCGATCAAACCAACTTGGAATAAAATAAAAATAACTTAAAAAGAGTCCAACTTTTCCTTCTCCACTGCTACAGCATGCTGCCATGACTGTCCCACTCCAGGCTTCTGAGCCCTAACCATGCCTCAGAGATTTTCCCACTCCAAACTTCCCAGACCACGCCATGCTGCCGCCAGTGTCCTGCTCCAGCATGCTGTCACCGGGCCCACTCCACGTGGAAGTGTGAGTCTCACTCCAGGCTACATAGGCCGACCAACCGACTCTGTATACCATTGAGTGATTTATCAGGATTGTCAACTGACATCCCTCCAGCAGCCACATTTATAGACATGATTTACCTCTTTGTAGCTGACGGACATCTTTTTTGTAATGTCCTGTGCAGCATTTGCACCCAAACATCTGATCTTAATCATTCCAATTCTGTTTCATTCCTGCTTTCAATTCCACAGCAGCAGGGAATGGAGAATGAGCACCCAATTTGACTCACCTAGTAATTCAAAGTTGTAGACTGCTTTTTTTCCTTTTCATTGATTTTTCTTTCTGTAGCTGACTGTGAAAAATCATACATTTTCAGCTGCATTCTACATATGTTTCTAGTGATGCTTTTTAAATGGCTGCTATATCTGCACACAAAGGCACTTAGAGCAGGGGTAGATAAAAAGGCACATGACTACAACAGCCAGTCAATACATCAAGTACAATTGAATACCATTTCTCCAAACATAGGCCATTGAACAAAACACAGGAATACCTCAAAGTTTCAACAGCCAGAAGGATTTTTTCAAGGAACAAAACCAGAAGTTGCTGGAAAAGCTCAGCAGGTCTGGCAGCATCTGTGAAGAAAAAAATCAGAGTTAACATTTCAGGTCAAGTGACCCTTCCTCGGTACTTCCCCAGGCCCAAAACTTTAACTCTGATTTTTTTCTTCACAGTTACTGCCAGACCTGCTGAGTTTTTTCCAGCAACTTTTGTTTTTGTTCCTGATTTACAGCATCCGTAGTTCTTTAGGTTTTTGTTAAACCAGGCTTCTTCTGATAATTTATTGTAAACTTTGACTGAAGAACCACAGAAAACATGGGGCCAAATTTTAGATGCATTTTTTCAAATCAACCTGTTCGGAGATGTTGTCACACACCTCTGGAGCAGGTAGGACTATGAACCAGGGTCTCCCAGTCCAAGGGTGGAGACCTTACCATTGCACCACAAGAGCCTGAGGCTGAATTTTAACAGGAAAGGGAAGATATGCTGCAGGTGTAGGCTAAACTTCTGGAAAGAGGTGTCAGATCAGGAAACTGACGTTATCCACAAGAACCAGGTCTGACCCATGCAATTTGGCAGGTAAATGGAGAACCCACATGCAGCTGTCAGATGAGTCATTACTGTATGCAAACAGGCCAATAACTTTGCATCGAAACTTCAAGATCGGTCCTCCAACTGTCTGCCAGAAAGGGAGTGATTGTTTATTGAAATTCATCCGCTGCAGGAAATCTTTAAAGGGTGAAGTCAGAAAGTGAATGGTGAATCCAACAAATTGTCATAATGAATGGGTTGTGCTTGCATGATTACTTCTGACAATCTGAAATCACTCCATTTGCTGTCAATTTCAACCTCTTGGACTTCCTTTTAATTGAAGCCAGCAGCAGCAGTATCACCACCAACTTCCTTCTCCTCCAGCTACACATGGCTTCGCAGGTCATGGGCTAAATGCTGACATCCAACTCAAAATAAAAGGTGAGGCACAGGATCCACGGTCAGAGCATCGGTTTTCTTGACATATTTGAACAGCTGTGCCTCAAAAGCCTCAGGATTTCACAGAACGTCATCACTGACATTTCCAGCCTCCAGGAACAAGACTTCCCTCACTGTGGATGGCCAGTAAAGTCCTTGTACCTGGTGAGAAGTAGCCCACCTCCCTCTCCACTGCTATCCCTCTGATTTCCTTCCCTAAAGAACATTAGTTGTGCAAATAGGTTCAGTCTCCCCGGAGCTGTGAGCTCTCTTCCCCTACAAAGAGAGAAATCAAAGTTGTAAAGTGTGACAAATGATTTGAGTGGAGAAACAAGATGGACTATATTTGTGGCTGATGTTTGTGCAGCATGAGCATGAAATGGCAAGTGGGTGAATGTTTGAGAGCACTGGCTTCTCAGATGATGTACGAGAAGGTGTCTAGAAGGAAAAGAATGAGTCCAGATTCAAGGTGTGTTGTCCTCTGGAGTGTTAGACAGGAGAATGCTCACAAAGTCAGAGGTCATAACACCTGTAAGTATTATGGCACTTGTCTTTTCGGATAGATGCTATCTTCTTTATGTACCATGAGATTGGAGGCACCATGCTTCTGTTACTTCCTTGACCTGTTCTTTGCACACTGAGTGGTTTGTGTGTATCTGTGTGTTTGTGTAGCAGGGACAGTCTTACCAGGTTTCATCTTCGTTTGCATGGTTGTTGCAACCAATCCTAACCATGCCAATTGAAGCAATTGATAGTTCAGAATGACATGCTCCTTTAAACCAATTCTTGAATCTTCCTTGTACTTATAATTCAAATTGAATCAGGGCATTGAAAGAAGCACAAGGCTTTGAAGTATATTAATACCAAAGCAATGGATCTAAACATAACCAATTAAAAAGTAGATAGTATCAAAGGCAATACAATTAAAGAAGTTGTAATTTAATGAGACAAGTAAAATCAGAATAGTTTATCTTTGCAGTAAATAAATAAATGAGATTTTTTTTCTGAAGAGGCAAATTAAAAATCATTAGATCTACTTTCTGTCTAAGAGTCACAGTCTGACACAGTTATTTAACCTATAATCATTTTCTTAACCGCAGCAAGCGTTTAACCACGTTAGTCAAGTGAGTGTTCTTTGTGAGTGTTAGGTAGGAAAACAAATGCATCCTTCTTAAAAATGAATAGGAATTGGTAATAAAGTTCAAAATAAATATATTTGTGTCCATTGCATGCTAAGCAATATGAAAGAACACCACCTCTGGAATGGTAATAGATTTTTCCTACAGTTTATCCATGGATTGTCACATTGCAGAACCTTTCAGCAATTTAATTTCTTAGAGAAGGAAATCTACCTGCATCACCTGGTCTAGTCTATATGTGACTTCAGATGGACAGCAAGGTGGTGAATTCTTATTTGCCCTTTGAAATAGTGTAGCAAATCACTCAGTTGTATATGAGAAGGTGGCTCATCACCACCAACTCCTGAGCACTTCAGGGATGTGAAATAAATGCTGCATTTGGCAGTGATGCCCCCAGTCCCTGAATGAATGACAAAGAAATTGACAAATCATCAGTCTGTCTGCAACACTGTATTGCATGTTTCTCAGACTGCCATTCACTTTATAGTTCTTTATAAGTAAGTACACCCAGACCCCAAGTGAGGTTCTCTAACTTGTCCCAGATAAGAGACACTAAATCACTTGGCACCTGGTGAGAAGGCATGAACTAGCTCTCCTCCTTTAATCACCAGTCCCCTTGGTTGAACACAACAAGATTAATTTAAAAACAGATCCTTCCTCTTGTGGATACCTTTCTAACAGACCTAAATGATTGTATGTTTTGAAATGAACCAATTTAACTAAACTTTCTTGTGTTAATAGAAGAGTAAGTTGATAAATTACTAAACGCAAAAAGAATTATAGTGCAACACAAAGATACACACAGAAGTGAGTCCAAGAGGAGGAAAGTTAAGAGAAAAAGATCTATAGATGAGTCTCTAAATTATTCACAAAGAGTGGATAATAGATCATTGCTGCTATTACAGTGAAGGTTACCAGTGGCATTGACATTTGTAGTTAAGCCATTTGTTTCCTTAGTTTTGCAGATTGATTGATATTCTGTAGTTCTGATTCCTTCTGCCTGTAATTGAATTCTAGCATTGTGTGGGAGAGTCCTTTTGTTATCCTGTCTCCTTTTCATCTGGCTGAAGTTGACATCACACACTGAGTAAGAGAGGGTCATTTTCAGCTACATAGAGGTAACAAGTAGATAGTTCTTCGCTTGCTGTTAAGTAGGCAGTAATCAGTATTCTTTGTAGTGACAAGGGATCACTGTCCAGTCTGTGCAAAATTTCTTTGGCACAATTAGGTGTTACATCTCATTGGCCCCTCATAGAAATTTTGCCAGCCAGCCACTGTATTTACACATACAATTATTTTGCCTCTCTATCAGTCCTCTTATAAAAACATGTTTTCTACTGAAGAATTGAAAACAGCCATTGTACTGTGTGGATCTGACCTATAGTTATAACATTGGAGATGCATCATGATTCCTGATAGAGTCAACACTTTGACGAATGATATTACTGCACAAGTAGAGGGAAATTGTCAGGATCTTCCCAGGACCATGGAGGAGTTGGGCAGGACAGTTGGAGGGAAGGTGGTGGTAGGACAGGGAACTTTAGATACTTGTGGATCAGGTCAGCTCCCTGATGTGTTCCTGCCTCTATGGCCTTTTCCCAAAAGCAGGTTTCTACGGTTTCTTTCTGTGTGGAAATGGTGGGGACTCAAATAGGATGATTGAAAGGCCAATTAGCTCATATTTTATCCTTTACAATGAGGTGTTACAAACAGCTCATGGCCCCCTGCTGTCCCCAGCTTCATAGCAGGAGCTCAGCCGTTGTAGCTTCAAAGGTGGTTGAAGAACACACTGTAAGTCCCTGTTGTAGACTTGCCATTGAGTGATAAACTTGAGATGAATGTCTCTAATAGCCATATGCCGCTAGAGAACTTTTAAATCTGCTGTACGAACATTAATGGTAGCTGCAGTGCCTCCCTTAGCTAATGTGTGCCTGATCCTCAGCAATGTGCTTCACAGGTATCAGAGTGGGGGCTGCCAGCCTCCATTGGCGTGGCCCAAAATGCCTTGGGCTTCTGCCTCTGGAAGCCACCTGCTGTCTCTAAGTGTATAGCAAATGTAGAGGCAACCTCTTAGTTAGCTGCCTTCTGAAAGATTCCCCCAGTCAACGCATCCATGAGCATGTGGGGTCAGGACCAGGGAATAGCGCCAAATATGCATTATTTTCTATGTCTGGAACTTTCTGGCCATTTCCAGCAATTTCCTTTTTTTGTCATTTTGCCAGCAGTATTAGCTTATTTAAAATAATTGGGTTAATACCTCTGTTGAAATAACAAAGGGTGACGTTTGACACAGGCGCATTAAGCATTAATATAATAGCATCCCTGACTGCAGTTTATGGTCTATATGTAATCCTATTATAAATTGCATGTTATAATTATAGGTACGTCATGTTGTATGATAATAATAAACCCTGATAGCTTTTGTTCGGCTGGCACCAACTGCTCTTCCACCATGTAGAATGTGTAACACAAGGAAACTTTGAAAATATAGAAACATTGAAACCAGGAGCATGAGGAGACTATTTGGTCCTTTGGGTCCACACCATCATTCAATATGATCATAGCTGATTCTCTATCTCATTGCTATATACCTGCCTTCTCCCCATTACCCCTTTGCTCTTTTAAAATCTAAGAATGTATCTATTTCTTTTCCTCAATATATTCAGTGACTTGATCTCCACAGCTTTTTGTGGTAAAGAATTCCATAGGTTCACTATTCTTTGAGTGAAGATCTGTTTCATCATCTCATTCCCAAATAGTCTATCCCATATCCTCAGACTGTGTGCCCTGGTTCCAGACTCCCCATTTAGGGAAAACATCCTTCCTGCAGCCAAGCTGTCCAGCCGTGTTAGAATTTCAATCGTGTCCCCTCTCACCCTTCTAATTTCTAATGAATACAGGCCAAATCTAACTAATCTTTCCTCACAGGACGGTCCTGCCATCCCCTGGTATCAGCCAAGTGAAGCTGTATTGCACTCCCTCTTTGTGCTTTCTTTCATAGGGAGACCAAGCTGCACACAATACTGCAGGTTCTCACCAAGTTTTTGTACCACTGTAGTGCGACATCACAACATCTGAACTCAAATCCTCTTGCAGTAAAGGCCAATTGTCCATTTTCCTTCCTAATTGCTTGCTGCAGCTGCCTGCCTACTGTCATTGACATGTATAAGGACACCCAGATCCCTTTGTACACCCACTCTTCCTAATATGTCATCATTTAAATAAAACTTATCTGTTTTCACACTGAAGTATATAATTTTGCATTTGGCTACATTGTACTGCATCTGCCATGTGTTTGCCCACTCTCAACTTGTGTAAATTATTTTGAAGCCTCCTTGCATCCTCCCCACAATTCACAATCCCTCCCAATTTTGTGTCATCAACAAACTTGGAACTGTAGCATTTGATTCTCTCATCCAAGTCATATATAATAAATAGATAAGGCCCTAACACTTATCCTTGTGGTACCTTACCACCAGCACTTGCGCCACTTGAGAAAAGACCCATTTAATCAACTAATTTTCAATCTATATTAATATATTACTCCTGTCTAATGTGCTTTAAATTTGCCCACTCGCCTCTTATGAGGGATTTTATCAAAAGTTTTTTAAGCTCCAATTACACTGGTTCTCACTTATCTATTATAACAGTTGCATACTTAAGAAAGTCCAGTAGATTTGCCTTTCATAAACCTATGTTGGATTTGTCCAATCCTGTAAGTGCTTTCCAAATCTTTTGTTATTATGTCTCATAATGGACTTCAGCATTTCCCCACCACTGATGTTACACTCACAAGCCTTTCTGAAAAAAGGTCCAGACCCAAAACGTCAGCTTTCTTGCTCCTCTGATGCTGCCTGGCCTGCTGTGTTCGTCCAGCTCTATGCCTTGTTGTCCCTGTAATTCTGTTATTTCCCTGTCTCTCTTTTTAAATAGTGAGGTTACAGTTACCACCCTCCAACCTCTAGGAACTGCTCTAGAATCTGTAGGATTTTGAAAGATGACCATTAATGCATCCAGCATTTCCTTTAGTACTGTGGGGTGTAAATAATCTGGTCCTATAATTTGGCAACTTTTAGCACCATTATTATCGCCAGCATCATTTTCTTACTAATACGAATTTCCTTCAACTCCGCCTTTTCTACCCTGCTCTGCCATTCAGTCATGAATGATATGTTTCTCAACTCCATTCTCTTGCCTTCACCCTGTAAGCCTTGATCCCCTTACTCATCAACTACTTATCTATCTCTGTCGTAATGACAGGGTAAGGGTCCTACGTTTATCTTCACATATTTGTCTGTGTTTTAATGATCAGTTTCTATGTTCTCTGCAATTTCAATTGTCAGTTTTCTTTTACTTGTTTATTGAATGTGGATATTGTTGGCTAGGTCAGCATTTATTGCCCATCCCTAATTGCTCAATGTGGCATTTTTATGGGTCTGGCGTCACGGGTAGGCCAAACTAGGTGAGAATGGTAGATTTCCTTTGCTGAAGGACATTGGAGAACTGGATGAGCTTTTACAATAATCAACAATGGTTATATGATTGCTATTAGACTAGTTTTTTTATTGAATTCAAATTCCATCATTTATCCATGGGGGATTCAAATTTACACCCCTGGAACACTTACCTGAGATTACTAGACCACTGATACTACCTCTATGCCACTGTCTCACCACAAATATTATTTTTGCTGTAATTTGAGCAAATTCCTGTGAATTCACTGAAATCATGGCATTGAATTTAATCACACACCATGCCACCACTGTTTCAGTCGTGCTGAAAAGGCCCGGGTGAGGGATCAGAATCTTGAAAATAGAAACTCAATCTCCATATCTCGCCACACTCCCTATTGCAATAATATTAAAGGCAATGATACAGGTTTTCAATGAGTACCCCACTAAACATAGGATGCAAGACGTACATCCCAATTAAATCAGAGTCAACAAAACATAACATGAACAGCAAGCCAGGCAGAATCATACATAGTGTTGCCTGGCAGCAGGATAATGATGGTTGGGGGCAGGGGGGTGGGTCACGTGGTTAGAGAGCAGCCAAGATATACTTTGGAAATTTTCTTCTGAGCTGGGGAGCAGGAGTGCTCTGCTTAGGTGCAGCAAGGTATCCTTGGGAATCTCAGCCTTGACATTCCCTGATGTATCTATTCCACAAGATGCACAGCTACAGCCTGTTGTAGCCAATCTCCTGCTCCCACCCGTTGATTTGGTTGTCAGCCTGCTTTGAGTATCGGCTCAGACACTTGAAGTATTATTTAGAAGAGACTAGAATTAAAATCAGCACAGCGTCCACCCCATTGACCTGTCTGGATGGACCGCCATTACTGAGTTTATTTGCACAGCTTCTGAGTTTCCACTTGTAAAAATTCAGAACTGTGAATCAACCTGACTGTGTGTATTTCTATGGCTTAAAATGCATCTGTTAAATTTCAGACTTCTGACGTTATCCCAGTGCAAAATTCTGCATGACATTTACACCATTCAATTCTCATTAAAATGTGTTGAGAGGGAAGATAAAGACTTCCATTTACATAGCATTTTCACATTACAGAATGTTGCTTTAGATTTGTTTTCACAAGTATTCACCATTGTTCAGTAAACAAATTATGTGAACAATTCATCCCAAGCAAGGTCTCTCAACTGGGAAAAAAAATGTTGTTTTAATTTGGTGCTTTCTTTTAAGGATGAATTTTGGCCAGGAAATGGAGGAAACTCCCTAACTTCCTTTGAATAATTCCAGGGGGTGTTTTATATTAAATGTAACTATCAGACAAGTTCTCAGTTTCAAACCTCAACTCAAAGACAGAATCTTCAACAATTTTACTGTAAGTTTGGGAGGAGTGTACTGCCATAGAGGCTGAGATAAGTTCCCATCTCATTATTGAGATGGCTAGAAAATCAGATGAAAATCCTTGCGGGTCTCATGTTTTTACAATGCCAAGCCAATCAACCAGCCAGGGAAGGAGTCAATAAATTTGGAGCTGGAAAAGCACAACAGGCCAGACAGCATCGGAGGAGCAAGATGCTCTCTGACCTGCTGTGCTTTTCCAGCTCCACTTTTATTGACACTAGCTTCCAGCATCTGCAGTCCTTACTACCTCCAAGCCAGGGGAAGGAGCCCTGCAACCATCAGTTAACAACAATCAGACTGAGCTAAAATCAACATCGTTATACAAACATATACAATATAAAACTCAGACATGGATCTCCTAGGAAATTCTTAACTTTCTGGAAGTAGTAAGCAAAAGTAGAAGACAGGTGACAAGCATCATGTAGGATCAGAATAGAAAATGTTAAAAAGACAGAATTAAAGGTATTACATCTGAATGAATTTAGCATTTGCAAAAAAGCTTGATGATTTGAATACACATATTAAGGTAAACGGGTATATCTGAAGAAAGGTCTCGACCCGAAACATCAGCTTTCCTGCTCCTCTGATGCTGCCTGGCCTGCTGTGTCCCTCCAGCTCCACACTGTGTTATATTCAACATTTAGGAGGGATAGACAAAAGGCTAAAAGACTGCTGTAGCATTATTACTAATGGAGGAGATCAGAACATTCGCAAGAGTGGATCTTAATTAAAAGATCATTAGGTAGAATCAGTTTGGGTGGAGCTAAAAATACAGCAAGTAGAAACAAACAGTGGTGAATGTTAAGTCCTGACAAAGAGTTTTGACCCAAAACATTGACTTACCTGCTCCTCGGATGCTGTCTGACCTGCTGTGCTTTTCCAGCCTCCCACCTATAGACTCTGGCTTCCAGCATCTGCAGTCCTTATTGTCTCCAAGTGGATGTTATTTATCGGCTACCAATGTGTAGTAAAATATTGGGCATGATATAAATCATGAAATTAAAATTGCACAACATATCAGCCATGGTTAAATAGTGGAGCAGACTCTACGGGCCGAATCGCCTAATTCTGCTCCTGTGACTAATGGTCTTACACTCTAACACAGTAATAATGGTTAGTTGGTAACATAGAACTTATTATCTTGACAGTTAACAGCCATGGTTTGCTCAGTTTTAAACCAGGTATGTTAAGTCAGTTTGGTAAAGGCAGCATACTGTAGCTTCCAAAATATGTAAGTGCGAGCCCAATGGACAATCCTAAATTAACATTTTTTTCAAATTGGGAAATGAAAGGCTGACCTGCCAGTTTTCCAGCTTCGAAACACAATGACGGCAGATTCAGAAATTGCACTGAAATTTCTTTCAACAGCTGCTTTGGGGCAGCCGAAAAGAAAGAAAGAGTAAGGACTGAAAGCACCAAGGATCGAAGCATCTTTCTCTCCCTGTTCTTCATCACCACTCAGCGAAAAAGCAAATCTGGAAAATTACCATTAATCAAGAATTCAAACAATTTTACTGATTCTACCATTACTGAGGATACAACTGCAATCCAAGATTGAAGATCAAGCATTTTAAGGACAATAAGGAATTTTTAACTGTGTATCCTTTATCCCCTCTGACTGCCAGAAACCTGTTACTTGTGTTTAGAACAAGAACATAGAACAGTATAGCAGGAACAGGCCGTTCAACCCACTCTGTCTGTGTCAATCATGATGCCATTCTAAACTAATCCCATCTGCCTGCACATGGTCTGTATCCCTCTATTCCCTACCTTACCCTGTCTGCATGTTTGATGTTACATTTTTAATATTTTTTAGGGGTTATAAACTTATGATGTTTCGCCTCCTTTCACTCAAGAAAGCATTATAATTGGCATTCCTTTTATTCTCATTTCCAATATTTTTAATGAATGTGTGGTATAGCGATTTTTTTGTGGTTGTCCAGAAGGCGTGAAAAAGGGAGCTGAATCCTCTTCCTTGCCTGGTCAGAAGCATCTTTTATTTAAAGTTAGCACAAGAAAACTTGGAAATGTGAGACTGGAGATGTGTGTCTTTGGAAAGAACAAGAAACTGGAGTGCAGGATTAAAATATATATAAATAGCCACAGTAAGTTGGAAGTTGTTCTGAAGAGGTAATTGAGATTGAAGATGAAAAGTGAAAGGATGAAAATATTTCTCCTGTTAATAATCAGAAGCTTTGAGCCAAATCACAAGACAAAAATAGGAGACAAACTTTCGGAATCAGTGACTGTGACTAAGACAGTAGAGCAGAACACTGACTGCAGAAGAGAAATGCTACGTAACTTCAAGGATATCACCTAGAACATGCTTGTACCAACTGATCTATGTTCAAGAAAGATTTTTATTTACTTATTGATGAAATACATGCATTTCTAGTAAGGCCTGCATTTTCTGCTCATCCCTAAATGTCCCTTCACAAAGAAGAAAAGGCATTTAAGAGTCAACGACATTGCTGTGGGCCTGGAATCACATATAGGCCAGACCAGGTACGGACAGCAAATGACCTTCTCTAAAAGGCATTAGTGAATGAGATTGATTTTTAGCAACAATCAATAGTAGATTTATAGCACCATAACTGAGACTAGTTTATATTCCAGATTTATGAATCATATTTAAATTCTACATGGTACTGTGGGGGGGATTTTGTCCTTATGTCACAGAGTATTTGTCTGTGCCTATAGATTATTAATCCAGTGACATAACTGCTATGCTGCCATTTCCCAATAAAATATCAATAATTAAGACCAGTCATCACATAGAAATGACATTTTCTATACTTGAGACTTGCAGATACAAAGTAGAGTTAATCCAGGTTTAGTCCAAAGGTATCAAGTATAGAGAATCACTGAATTGTGACTCGGGATAAATAATGAGAATGTATAATGTAGTATTTTTAGAATCTGAATTACTGTGATTTGCAGTAAGATGATTGAGATCACCTAGAAAATGATTGTTCTTCAACATTGCCTCAGAGTGGTGTTGACCAGTTAATATTTTTGAATATTAAAGGCCATAGAAATGGGGAGATGGTAAGTAACCCTAAAGATTTCAGATTGAGTTGTTAAATTTCATCATAATGTTTTATCCCAGCCAGCTAGTGAAAATCAGTCTTCCACATTTCTTTCAAAAACCACTTAACACTAAAGTGTCATAAGTGACTCACTGTTCTATTTTACTCCTGTTAGAACAGTTTTTCACCTTGCTTCCAGAATCTAACTAATGTTAAATGTATGTCTCAATTTAAGTTCAATTTGCAAATGTTTAACTAATCATTTACAGTATTAATTTTTGACCATAAGCACAATTATTAAGGGTTTCATATTTTGGTGACATTAATGCTTTCAACCATTCATCCTTATAACATCACCTCCCTCTTTGATTCACTGTATACAGTTATCATTTTATCCGGTGCCAACAGTCTGAACAATTGTGCAAATGGAAAATTTTTAACTGGATGACAAATTCTTGCCATATTAAACAAAACATTAGAGCAGATTAGTTTCAAACAGCAAACCATCATTCATGAATAAAACCAAAATAAAAATGGGACCAGAACTTGGAGAAATTTGATCATTAATTTCATTTTTTTTTATGGAAGTACATGAAATCTGACATAACCACTTGCATTTGGGCTCTGTGTTTTCCAGAATAATGAGAATGTCACTCATGCGTTGGTACTCACCAATGGAAACTTAATGTCTGCAAAGCAACAGCTCATTTAAAATAAAATTCTCCCTTAGTCTTTCTTCGAGTCCCCAATTTGTGGGGAAATATTCAAAGAGTCAACAGCCTTTGATTTGTCATTGAAACAATTACTTTTGATGAATGGAATTCTTCGAGGAACCATCTACTATACCACATGAGAGTAATGCAGATGATATACGTGATTGTGATTCTAAAAATAGGTTTAACTTATTTTAAAATATTCATTTTCATGTACAGCCAGTACCAGTACTTAAGGCAAAGGGAATAGTTGCCAAATTGTCTAGATCAATTAAATGTTTACTCAGTATCAGACAATTTTCTGGTAGTGTGTGTTACATGTCTGAAAGTGATTGGACAGGTAACAAGTAGACGGAAGATCGATAATGTCCAGAGAGCTTTTAAACAATTATGTTGATAAGTTGACATCAGACTGAAAATAAAATTATCATAAACAATCATTGATTGATTGTTAATAATCAAGCAATGTCAGGCAGTGAGGCAAATTGACTGATGAGATTTGGCTACCGGGTACTGGGCTGCCATGAGAGTAACTTACATTCTTAATTTATAGCTCATTCATGAGACAACTTCTTGATAATGCTATACAATTTATCCAACACCAAACCATGTAGAACCTTGCTTTTTGAATATGAAGTATTTCTCTCCAAAGTAACAAGAAACTTGTGTTTTGTTCTTTAACTATGTCTACTTTCATTTATCTGATACTATGAATAGAAAAGCCCCAAACCACTGTAATCCAATGGTGCTGAGATTTTTCTTTTAGAAGAGCTCTTAAGGCCATCAATAATGTAGCAATATGAGAATGACAGGCTGAATTTTACAGACCGTCTCACCATATCCAAGTTTTCAGCAGGGGAGGACTTAACATATGCACAGTAGTTAGCCCACCCACCCTAACCCAGTACCCATAATAAAGGTACTGGGTAAATTACACACTAGTTTGCCTGTCTTTAGGCCTATTAAGAACTTTAAACTGGCCAATTAAGACCTTTAATCTGCATCCAATTTCATAACATTATGGGCAGTGGCAGGCGGGCATAAGTGACAAAGGCATTAACACTAATATGCAAACAGCTCTTGTAGATGCAGGAAACCTGCAACAGAAACAGAAAGTGCTGGAGAAACTCTGCAGGTCTGGCAGGATTTATAGAGAGAAAACTAGAGTTAACATTTCATGGCTAAATGGTTCCAAAAGACCATTTTATTAAAACAGTTAGTTAAAAGGCAAGAAGGCAGAACAAATAATCTGTGAGTGTCCTGCGTGCATCCCTCTCTCAGAGATTTTGCCCCTTGCAACTTTGTATCTCCTTACCTGAACACTAAGTATTCCAACACCCCACCTTGTCCCACATTGCCTGATCCCTTTTCCCTTAAAAGCCTGGGGGCTAAATCCAGTCTCCATTGCTCTTCTTACAACGGATGCATAGCTCTGTTGGGATTGTTAGAGCTGTTGGAAAATCAGAGTGGTTGGCTGCTGTTAAGGGCAGGACTTGCTCCCGCTGAGAGGCTGAATTCCAACGCACTTCTTTAGGACTGTTATGTTAAAATTGCATAGTGTGCAGGTAAAGACCTGTAAGAGATGTGCTTACCATATCATGGCATGTGACCGGATGGTATAAAGGTTTCACAATCCATTTTATTGGGGCCACTTGCAGCATGGCATGATGACTCACTGAGGGAAGAATGCTACAGCATGTAACTAAATTAGACTTTACTAGTCCAGGCTTGGAAGTGCCAAGGCTTGTAGTATATGCAGACACCAGGAGCTGTAATAAATGTTTGTTAGATCTTTCAGTACCACATAGTTCTTATGTTATGGGAGCTACCATAAATATCACATCATCAGGTATGAAGGCTGAAGCCCATTACTGTATTTATGGCCGATCATGATCCAGAGCTTTGTACATGGTGTCCCTGCGGACACAGTACATCTTAGACCTCCAGCTGAAGTGGAAGATGACTCGGGTGACTGCAAAGGTACCGTTCTAGGAATGGACAAGACCTGCGCTAAGTATAACAACAGAGAGTGCCTCATAACGGATGACCAAGCTTTTACCTGCAATTGAGACTGCACAATTTTTGTACATACTCTGGCCCTTTGGACCATATTCCCAGCACCTTCAGGTAAGCTGACAGGGTTGGAGGTGAAGAGAATAAAGGATTGGTTGGCCCAGGTCCCAGGGATCATGGGCTGGCTCTTGCTTCAATTTACCTTGGCTCCTGAGGCCAGTTCAAGCAGGTTGTAGATGCTCATGAGTCTGTGCACAGACAGTGGATCTGAGCAGAAAACAGCAATGTCCCCTGTGTACAGGGAGGCTTGAGCTGTAGGCCTTCGCTGCCTGGAATAGTCATTCCTCTCAGGCTCACATCCTTCCTGATGGACTCAGTAAATGGCTCTATACAACACACAAACAAGGCAGCAGAGAGTGAGCAGCCCTGCCTGAACTCCGGATCTGATTGGAAAGCTTACTGAATCCCACCCATTGATTGAGACTGCACTAACAATGTTAATGTAAAGTAGTTGGATCCAACTGTGGATTCCCTCTCCAGAGCCCATTTTGGGGAACACATCCAAAATGTAGGTGTGTGACATCCTGTTAAAGGCCTTCTCCTGGTGCAGGCTGGTGAGGTAGGCATTCACCCCCCACACTGTCCTGCGTGTAGCCGATTGTATCCCTGAGGAGTGTGCGGCTCTCAGAGATTGTTGTGCCCAGTACTGCACACGTTTGGTCGGGGTGAATCACTGATCCCAGAACAGACCTGATCCAGTTGGCGATGACCTTAGACAGGACTTTTTACTCTGCATTCAGCAGTGAGATTGGTCGCTAAATTCTAATGTCCTCCCTCTCCCCCTTCCGCTTGTAGATGAGGGTGACAACACCTTTCCTCATGGAGTCACACACATGCTACCTGCCAGAAACATACTGTCATACACCTCCAGCGGATCCTG